TCTCCCTTGTCACCAAGCTTTGCTAAAAGCTCTGGAAAAGCTATGGTTGTGGGAGGGTCATGTAGTGAAAAGTCTAGAAGCTGGAGGCTCCTAATCCCTGCCAGCCAAGCATCATCTAATTAGGTATTAACATCTAATTAGGTTGAAAAAGGAACAAACAAGTTCTTCTTTGTTTGTAGAGCTTAGAATCATCTGAATAATTTCTTCAGTATTAATCTGTGAAAAAAGGGACGTCCTGGGAAAGGACGTCCTTTTTCTCTGCGTCACAGGGCGGGATGCAGGCCTCTGCCTGGCCTGCTCCTACATGCTCTATGCCAAGATGGGACGTTCCTTAAGGATTGGCTTCCCAAATATGAACTGTCTTTTTGTTGAGTAGCACAAGCTGGAGATGAGAAGACCTGAGATTTATAGAGATTTATAAGCCAAAGTATTCTGATACTGTCCACCCTGGCTCCTCCCCACCCCCATCTGGTCCCCATTGCCCTTCACACCCTTCACACTCACAGTTTTCCCAGAGTCTTTACCAGAGCTTGGTTTCAGGTCTCAAGCTCCCAGATTTATGGGAAAAGATACCAGATCAGTGACTGATGAGAACACCGGTGTCAAGTAGGCCACCTCATTTTCCTGTGGATGGTAGCAGTCACTTCTAGCAAAAGTTCAGAGGGAAATGAAACTTGAAGCTACACATTTCCCCTCACCCTGATATATCTTCTAGATATAACTTCTATACCTGATATACCTTCTAGAGCCATGTCCAGATGTTCTTGTGCAGATTGTTCTTGGGAAAGGTGACGGTCCTTACTGTTCTATGCAGTATTCGTGGCTAGCCCAAAGGGCTTCGAACAGTGTGAGGATCAGCCATCCCCTTTTTTCTCTAAACAAACTGGACACACAATCACATTTAAATTTTATTAAATGTGTTTCTGATTATATAGGTGCCACAGATTACTCACTGACATGCTGTGAAATATGGGGGGAAAAACAAAAACATAAAATGAAATCACTTGAACCACGTTAGTCCTAAAATATTTATGAACAGTTTTGAATAATATATGAGTTTCTAATACATTATATTTCTATACTTCACTAAGGAAAAGATAGTTCTAGAAAAATTGGTTAAGAAATAAAACCAATTTTGTTTTGGTTTTTTTTTGGGGGGGGGGTTGTTTTTAACCACCATCAGTGCCAGGAGAGAGTAATTGTGCTTTTGGAATTAAAGGTTATTTTTACATATCACAATTGTAGAAACTTACTAACATCACCTATTTGAAATATGCACACATACTTTATGAAAGATTTAGAAACCAGGTAGTAACGCCCACCCCTTCCAAAATGTCTGCATTGCCACAGCTGAATTGTTTGGTGAAAAATGCTTCCGGGAAGGGTTTCAACATCACAGTATGGCAGAGAGTCCAGATATGAAATCTTCATTTAAAAATGTTCTTTCTTTGTCACTTTCCTCCATTATCGTGGGTTTCTGTTTTCTACAGTGAGAGTTATGACTAAATAGTAAAAAGAGACCAAAGCGATTTTCAAACAAGGCACTGGGCTGGAGGTGGGTGTTAATGGAAAGCTTCACCTATGGACTTGTACGGGGTGCACCCAGCTGGTTATTTTGACCGTTAACTTGCGCCGTGATATTAGAGCCAGCTTCTAATATTTGTGCAGTCAAGGAAAGAGTACAAACTGAGCTCTGCATACCACATGCCAAATATTTAAAATATATACAAACTGTCAATCAACATTTTGATTCTTCCACTTCGACAAATAGTATATACTTTTGTAGCGACATGGAAGGCTGGGTTGACAGAATGGTTGGCCCTTGTTTATGGTGCTGGCGTGGTTCACCGGGGCAAAGTAAACCAGTGGGGAAAAGCTAGGCAGCCTCTGTTCCAGGCAGGGTGTATGGGAGTCCCTGACAGGAGAAGCTCAGGAAGCGGCAGCTGTGTAAACTTCTCTGCCTGTGAGATTGGATTGGGAACTTCTGGAGACCAGAGAAGTGCTCTATTATTGGCCTTGGACACGGGCAACTCTTTCACCCTCCATTGCTTGTTTCTGAAGTGAAGAGGGGAGAATGTTCTGTCCAGTGACCTTGACAGGAAAAGTGCCGCCCCCCCCCACCGCCCCACCAGGATCCTGTACTAGTCTCTCACTTCACCCTCCAGAATTCCCTTAGCCCACCTCTCCCTGCATCTGACTTGCTCCATGCACTGATGTTGCAGGGGCAGGAGGTTTGGGGGATTTGCAGCTTCTAAAAGGTCACAACCCACTCTAGGCACACTCTGCCGCTTGAACCGAGGCACCTGCTCAGCTGGGTCTCCTTCTCATGGGACATTCCTCCTGCTGCTTCCCTGGCTTCTGCCCCCAGAATCAAAAGCCACCTCCTACCTGATCCCTAATTGGTTCAACCCAGGAAAATTCCTGATTGCAAAAGTGTCAAGCAAGGAGTGGTGACTTCCCGGGGGATTCAACCAGCACCCCATGTGCAAAAAGTGGGACTTCCTGGAATCTGGGGCTCCCTCTTTCCTTTCTCTCCTCCTGGTAGTTTCTTCAGCCAACCCTTCAGAGCATTGCTCTATCTCTCACAAAACTCAGACTGTAGCTGGGCCCAAAGTTCTCTGCAGAGCCGAGCCTTTGCTGAGGTCTGAGCTGATTCTTCAGAACCCAGGGTTCCACTGGTTTTCCATGCCTGCCTGAGGGATATTTGGAAGCTGTGGTAACTAGGAAGCAGGTATTCTCAAGGGTATAAGGTGAAATAATGCCTCCCCCTTCCCGAATAAGATGAATTGAGACATAAGTAGATATAAATTCAAATTTATATGAGTACAACTCCTCTTCCTTGGCCTGGGGTTTCCTGAGCTGGGTTTTGCATTTTTTCTCTACTGTTCCCCCTGAGCTAGGTTGGGGAGCACCATTGGAGAATTTCCTGTCCTGCTGTTGCTGAGGAGCCTTTTGGGGGTTTGATCTGTGGCATGAGGGGCAGGAGGATCTCCATTCTGTAGAGGTGTTCTTACATTAAAGTTTTATTTTAAAGTACGAAAATATACCAATAAATTATATGAAGCATGTGCTACATGACAGAGCCTAGTTAAATCAGCCTCAGGTAATATATTACCAAGTGTTCAGACATTTTCTAAAATCAGTACTAATAAATAGTGTTTTCTTTTGCAAGTTAAAACTAAAAATGCATGATGTACAGAAATTTAGATATAAAGGTGGCATATGGAAATCGATTCATTGTAAAATCAGTGGCTCTTGATTAGATTATGTTCGCAGAGGATTTTTAGGGACATTAGCAAAGGTGTTGACTTAATCTTTTCTTCTGCTTGAAGAAATCTAATCATTCACTAAATCTAATCATTAGCACCTTTGAAGACCTCTGAAATGCAATCACTTAGAAGAAATGGGTGTGGTCTTTAGAGACTCAATATAAGGAGACTGAAGGAGCCAAGCTCATTCTCATCCAGAACAGAGAGTGGGTTTGGAACTCTCCTGGCTGGGAGATTTCTGAAAGCTACTGCTGTACTAGAAGGCTTGATCCCTGAGCTGACTTCGCGTTATCACTTCTATAGCAAACACTGCTGCGACCATGGATATGCTCCTTAGGTGAGTAAACAATTGACCATTGAAGAGTTCCTATAACTTTCCTAAAAGAAAACAATAATATTTCCTTATTTTAATTTCTGTCCAAACTTTGTTTCTATTAAAGATGTTGTCAGCAAAAAAAGAAAGAAAAAAATAGAAGATGTTGTTTGCTAACTTAGTGAAAATGATTCCATTCCTATTTTGGCAATTTGGTTTGATGTGAGTGTTGGAATTGATACGATGATTAATTGTAGTTCTCTTATTTTATGTATCCCTTAGTTATTTCTATGTATTAGTAGGACTCAGAAAGTAGTGGCCAGATGTCTTATAATTTTGTACTTGCTGTAGATTTAAGACCACTTTTAAGGAATATTTAATTCTATGTGTGGCACACATTAGAGTCTACTCTAAAAGTGGTACATGCCTGTATACACAAGAGAGATGACTTTCTAGAATATATAACTAGATAAGCATTCAAAGACTTGAGAAAAGTACTGTTTTAAAGAGAAGGAAATATTATCTCTTTCTCATTTTAATTAAAGAAGCTTAGAAATGATCATGTAGCTAGAAAGGGGACCGTACAGAAATATAAGTAATTTGAGGGACATTTGTATTTAACTTGCATAGACATGGCAATAAATTTTAAAAGCATCATTTGTTTTTTTGGTGCTGATTATGATAATTATATCCAAATTATATCTAATAACAATGTAAAGAGGTGCTTGCTTGATAGTTATTTTAAAGACTTGGAAGATACAGCCACTGTCTTTAATTTTAAGTTTCTTTGATTAGAGTGGTATAGCTAATAAAGAGAGGAGGGCAAATTCAACATGTTGGTTTAATCATGTAAGTAGATTCTTGTTAGAATTTGAACCAGTTTGTGAATGGTAAGTTCCTTCTTTATTAACTCTTAATGTGTGCATAGTAAATAAAGCGTTTTGGGATGTGGATTCTAACAGGAGGTAAAAAAGGACGTCTAAAGTAAAATGCCTGACATTTACATGAAATGATAAAAATAGAAGCTTTTCAACTATGCTATGCCAAATCGGCAAGTGGCATTGAGCAATATGATGAATTTTTAGTATATTCTAAACCCACCACCTGAAGCTATAAATTGGGTCAGTCTCCTAAAACTCAAGCTATTTGAAAAAATTAAGATCTCAACAAAACGGAGGTTCCTATTTATGCAGGAGAAAAGGGAGCAGGAGGTGGGTAGTGTAGGTGAGAAAGCCATAAAGTTCTCTACAGATCTTCAGGGCTCTCCTAGTCTTGGCTTCCATTTGTGTCACAGGCACTATCAAGCCTGTTCTGCTCCAGACACAGTGTTACTGAGTCACAATCTGGGTCAAATTTTGCTTAGACCTTTGTGTCTCCAGGGCAGAGAAATAAACTCCTGATTTTCTTCCCTCAGAAAAATGGATTCGGACATCTCACAAGCCTTCCAGAAAGAACTCACCTGTCTCATCTGCCTGAACTACCTTATGGACCCAGTCACCATGGTCTGTGGGCACAGCTTCTGTTGGTCGTGTCTCTGTGTTTCCTGGGAGAAAACTGGGAGCCCTGCTCAATGCCCTCTATGCAGGCAAACATCACAGCAGACAAACTTCAGGATCAATTTTATTCTGAAGAATCTGGTGTCCATGGCCAGAAAAGCCAGTCTCCGGCAATTCCTCAGCTCTGGGGAAAATATATGTGGGCCACACAAGGAGACAAAGCGGATCTTCTGTGAAGACGACAGGCGCCTGCTCTGTTCGCACTGTTCTAGCTCTCAGGAGCACGAGGCTCACAAACACTGCTCCGTTGAAGAGGCAGCTGAGGAATACCGGGTGAGTGATGCACTTTGAAAGCTGGGGGATAGAATAGTTAAGTATAGAGATGCTAAGATTTTGAGGATCATGATGATGATTAAATCCTCTCTTTACCGAATGCCAGTTAAAATGACCAAGCTGTGAAGAAAATAGGATTTTCTATGGTACACATATTTACTGACACTGGACAAAGAAGCATGACAAAGTACATTGTAATTAATTAGCAGTACAAGCATCACTAATTCCAAATTCTGATGCAAGATGCTGCACTATCTGAAAAGCAGCCATGCTAAATAAAATTCTGATGAGTTTTCATAGACAAATGACAACATTATATTGTGTGGATTTACCACCTGAAATCTCCTAAAATTGATCGTTAGTGTGGGCAAATAGGTCAATGTGACGAACCTTCCATGCTTCCTAAAGTATTTTTTATCTAACATTCATCATTTGGGGTCTGAAACCTAAATCTATTTGCTTCTCTGATGGTAAAATTTATTTTTCAGGAGAAGCTGTCAAACCAAATGACATCATTATGGGAGAAGATCCAAGAAATCCAAAGAAATTTCTATAAAGAAGGCAGGATATCTGACCATTGGATGGTAAGTCTGAAACCATATTTCTTCTGAATCAGGTTGACATAGATGTGCTATAACTTAAGCTGAAATTATCATGCGCCATAATGTTTTGTGAATGGGTCGAACAAAAGGAAACTTAATCCATTCGAGTTTTCAACCTAAGGAACATGCCTCTTAGGATTTTTAGAGTCTATGTATCAGTTGCTGCACAAAAGGACCATTGTAATGTGCATCATGTCTCAGGGAGGCATGTAGAGTGATCTGGACAATTTAGTAACCATTATTCAGGGTATCAGGCAAAATATCTTAGGTTTAAAATCAATCTAGATCTGAAAGACAAGTAAATGTTAAAAATCCACAGGTATTTCAAGCAGACATTCTGGGTGCCATACATTCTAGCAACTAAAGAACAGATCATCGAGAACTATAGATATTTCTATGTGATTAGGACAATGAGCCCAGGGGGACAAAAAGAAACTGTAAACAGCAATTAAAGAAGTGTGCCTGTGATGGTAAAACGTGATAGTGCAGGTGCCAGAGAAGGGTATTGCTTTAAGTAGCAGAAAATATAACATGTTAAAAAAATTGAGAAAAATAAAGAAAAAGACTCAAATTCAAGAGTGAGAGGGTGAATCCATAACTATTAGGAGAGAATATGCAGTGGAATGAAGATTAGTGCCCTTCAAAACAACCTGGGAGTCAATGGCCCCAGGAAGCCCATTCCAGAGAGAAAAAGAGGGCAGAGAAAAAGGCCGTGCGGATGGACATCAATTTGAGGGCAAGTGGTGAGAATTTCAGGAAGATCTTTTCTGATGGCTTCTGATCCTGAGAGTAAATGCAACACTGCTGCTAAGAGGGTGAGGCCAGGCTGCGGAGTAAGGAGGTTTGACACTGGAGATGAATTTACTAACACAGAGGTCAGAATAGTTCATACAATGATGAATCAATTATAAATTTCAATTGCTTGCATGCAGTCTTTCAGATTTGAGAGGATGAGTGTGAAAGACATGATCAGTGAGGCTCTTTTCTTTAGTTGTTGTTTCAGGAACTCATAAAGTGGGTAAAAGTGGTTTGAGAGAAGGACAGGATTGGTTTTGGGGATAGTTAAAAATAATGGAAAATGAAAGAAGAGGCAAGTACTTCTGAGAAATGAGTTTGTGGTTTCTGACAAGTGGGAGGACCCGAGTTTAAAATGTAGGTAGCTTACTGATAGAGAACATGAAGCAGCGCACTAGATTTTTTAAGTGGAGGAGGCTAGGTTGGCCTGAGTATGTGATCTAGGAAATCCATCTCTCTGCAGTATTATGTGTATCAATATGAAGACATCACCAGGGCTGCTTATCAGACACTGTGTCAGGCTTTCCACGAGGAAGGAAAACAACATTTAAAGAGTCTTAAAGAGGAAGGCCTCAAAATGTTTAAGCAACTCGAGAAACGTCGAGCTGAAATGATTGCAAAGATGATGAGCCTAAGAGCGATGTATGAGGAGCTCATGGACGTGTGCCATAAACCTGATGTAGAGCTGCTGCAGGTAGGAATTGAGCATGCACCTGGAAATATTTTGTTATTGGGATCCCCTGGATTTTCATTATTTGGTACCACAATATATTTCTTCATCTCCCACATCTGTGGTTGGGAGGGTGGGTCTGTCTCATATGAAATTGATATAGACAAACTGCAACTCCTGATCAAACCATGACAAATAAGCTTAATGGAAGTGTGATTATGGATATTCCCAAGGGAATGTTTTCCATCCTAAGTCAACTTATGCCATTTGTTTCCCTAAACACCAGAAGGGAACAACTTTTTCATGCACATTCAATTTTGGTGCACAATTGAGCCAATGGAGACATTTGGTGAAAACTAGGTAATTCCTTCTTCTGTTGGGATGTCCTTGGTTTCATTTGCTACTAATTTGGGGCATATTATAAGCCTCAGGATTAGACAACTTTGCAGAGAGCCGAGGGTGGCAGCACTACCTTTGTCCTCTCTTTCTCTCTTCACCGTCACGGTTCTGAATTCATCAAGAATTTAGATTCTGACAATATGTTATGCTGGGACTATCTTTAAGGAGTAAGAAAATAAATTTATAAGACAGTGTGTGGGTAGTAATGATTAATACTTTTTTGACCTTCCCTAACCCTGGGACTGGTTGGCAGAATACCCTATTTCTGAAGAAATCTAAACTTCTCTTTTCTTCCTTGACAGGAATTAGGAGACAAACTGAGAAGGTGAGTTTGGTGTTTAATGCTAACTGGGGCTCTTGAGGGCTGTGAAAGAGATCCAGCTACTTCTAACAAAGTGAAGAGAGAATGTCTCAGATTACTCCCAATTGTTTGTGTGTACATCTATTTATTTTATGTTTTGCTGAATATGGTTTCCTGTTCCCTTGATCAGAAGTTAGCTTTTTTCCCTTTTGTGGCTGAGGGAGGTATGTGTTGTCGGACTCAATGCAGACATTTCTAGAAGAGTAGTCATTTATAATTTTAGATTTTAAAATCAATAATTAGTGGTAGTGCAAGAACTAGATATTACCAGGCATTAAATAAGAGAGGAAAGTATCTCTGAGAAATGGGGATGGAAACAGGCAAAGTGAGGGAGATTCCCTAAAAATGGCACAATCCTATCTCACGATTGTGGAGAAAGGGATTTTGATGAAGAATGGTCAGTGAGATGAAGACTTTTCTTAAATACTATGTTTGAGAAGTCTTGGCCACCAGAAAGATTAAATGTATCTTCCTCCCAACAGGAGCGAACAGGTGCAGCTGCACATGCCTCAGCCCCTGCAGCCAGAACTCCCTGCATGGCCCATCACTGGACTGATAGACAGGCTCAACCGCTACCGAGGTGAGTGTCACTCCATTGCTGGGACCACCTGGCAGGGTCCTTCAGTAATGAGTTTTGATGAGTGATAGAAGCATGTATAGTCCTACTTAGACATGAAGTCACTATAATTTGGAAAAGAAAATGAAAGCTGGTGTAAGGATAGGTGTGACTTAGGCCTTATCAATTACTTGTAAATTTGATTATTTATATAATGAGATAAAGAACATGCTCCAAAAAAGGGCTCTTTGAGCCCTAAAACTATTGTCACATAAAATGTCAGTTGTTCACTGAGTCACAGAAAACTCGATGTTAATTCAAGATATTCCAATTGTAGATAAGGCCAGTGAATTAAATTTTAAAAGTACTTTTGCTTTAAACTTTCTTAGTAAATGAATTTATAATGTGTTTCAATGGTTGTGATCAGAAAAATACATAAACATAAAAAACTAAATGCAGGAAGCAAGAATTTATGAACAACAATAAAGTAAGTTGGAGGTCGATGGGGCCATATATAGAGCTCCATGGTAAACCTAAACCTGGAGCATTAATCTAGCAGAAGGGGAAAGACTAAGCCTCCAGGTAGAACCAGTGCTGAAAGGCAGACAATTCTTAGTAGGCAACCACTTCTAAGAAGATATCTTTTAGGTTTTCTTTTTCAGTGTCGATTTGTTTACTTTAACTGGAATGTTATGACCTGGTAAAGTGATCACTGTTTATTTAGTCTAAGATGTAATTCTTTCTGAGAAGGGGTGGTGGAGGTAAATTATATTGCTATGGACTCGGAGGCACTGCATAAGTGTCCAACTTTTAAGGTGTCAAGAAAATAACTGTCCAGAAGTAGACATGACCTCCCTGATCTTTGAATTTTTAAGAAGTTTTTCCCATTGTAATTAAGTATCTGTTTCTTCAGGAGATATGCTGGCTCCATTGAATTCAATATTTTCCATTCAGAACTGCCCTTCTAATGTTGGAATTTTTTTTTTTTCTGTTGAGATTCTAAGGAGATGTGCTTTCTCATAGACAATTTTATTTTTAATATTGGTTTTGACTGGAATATTCTCTTCTGTCCACAGTGGAAATTTTCTTCACTAATGAAATAACCAATCACAACATCACACTGTTTGATGACGTGAGAAGTCTGAGGTTTATGCGTGGCAGTCTCTATGCTGCTCTGGATCCTGGAACGTCTAACTGTTTTGCTGCATGGGGGGTCCAGGTCTTCACCTCTGGCAAACATTATTGGGAAATGCCTGTGGACAGGTCTTGGGACTGGGCCGTAGGGGTCGGTAAGGAGTCCTGGCTAAGGAAGAATGGCACCCTGATTGAATCTCATGACACATTTCTTCTTTTATGTGTGAAGGAGAATAATGGATACACTCTCTGGACCACCGCCCCGATGACTCGTCAGTACATAGAGAAACCTCTTGGTAGGGTTGGTGTGTTCCTTGATGTTGACAATGGAAGTGTGAGTTTTGTGGATGTTGCAAGGTGTTCTCTCATTTGGACATACCCCAATGGCACATTCAGTTTCCCTGTCAGGCCTTTCACTACCTCTGGCCATACTTAAGGAGGGCTAAGTCAGGAGCCTGACTGTTATCGGAGGGGTCTCTCCTCAGTTGAAGCAAACCACTTTAATGTAACCTTGTTTATTGTTATTAAATATGAAGATACTGCAAAATATTTGTTTGTTGTTTTACATTAAAATCCTTCCTTTTACACATTGTCTAGACTATATGCTGTGATTGCTCACCTGTTCTCTGAGCTTGGTGGGAATATAAAATTATGCATGTGGGATTCTAACTTAATGGTCTATCTAATGCAGGAATACAGAGCTCCAATCATAGACCTGGTTATCTATATTGCCCATGTCAGTCTTAAAGCGCCTCTTTCCTCCTTTGATCTAGTCTATTCTACACATCGATTCACCTTCCAGGGAAAAAATGATTTGACAGGGAAATCTCCACTGAACCTAAGGATTAGGGTAGGCCTATATGACACTGTGGTCTCCAAATACCTGGTCTCTTCATTTACAATAATGTAAATTGCAAAGGATAGTGTTCACTACAATATTCTCAGGTAACACAATGTGGAGGAAATAATGGGTGCTAAACACATATTTGATTAATGCATAATTAATGAATAAGGATACTGTCTTATTGGCAATAAGGTATAATTACAGTATGTGATGATCTCTGCTACAGCTTGCATAATATAAAGTATCTTTGCAAATTACATTTCTGAAAGGGAGAAAGTTTTGAAATACATATGGTTCCAAACATTTCTGATTAATAATTGAGAAGAGTCATTAAAAGAAATGCTAGTAGCTATTGAAAAAGACTTATAAAATGAACAAATGGATAGGAGACGTTAAGGATAATATGGAATAAAAGGATTGACCAGTACTCAAAATTTGGTTCCAGCCCTACTAGCATCTGCATCGCCTGAACCTTGTTAGAAATTCAAATTCTTGTCTCACACCAAAGACCTACTGAATCAAAAATTATGTGTGTGGCCTGAAATCTGGGGTTTATCAATCATTCCAGGTAATTCTTGTGAATGCTCATGTTTGAGAAATACTGCATTAGGCTGATCGACAGATACAAAAGTTTAGTAAACCCCTTACACCTGAGAACTAAAGTATCACTAGACAAAATTTGATTCAGCAAGATTGTTTAAATATTTCTTTTTCTTTGACTTGAAAGGGGCCATAAAATATTCGGCCTGTTTTGATAAAAGCGAGTCACTTGGTGGGTCACAGCAATCTCGGGTTATTAACAGCGCGTTGCTCCTCCTTAATGAGCTTTGATTTGTAAGTGATGGGATTGTTTGCACCAAGTGGGACAGTTTGGTAACATTAAATCATCCATTATTTATTACCAAAAATTCAGAAGCGATCAGGTCTTTGAGTAAGCACAGTGTAAATCGGAAAGGACTTGCTCGTTTGGAACTCTGTAGTGGTGTAGACCGTGTCACGCTTTCCCCCATTTACCCAGAGAAGGCTGTCCCAACCTCTCCGTAGTAAGAGGCAAGATGTTCCAGCAATCCCCCTGGGACTGTTTAAATGTTGATGGAAAAAGTATAATGATGGAAATTAAGATCTTAAAGAGAATGTCAAGTATTCCCCGCTGAAATAGGATAATAGATTATTTTCATGGAAAATACACATAGTGTATTTCTCGAATAATAAACTAGTTAGAGAAAAACTCCTTTCTTCATCTTGGAAAATACAGAAAACAGACAATATTTTTAAAACTACTCCATATACAGGTAGGTGAAAACGAATTTAATTTACTTTCTTAAAGATTATTCAGAGAAGACATTGCATTCATATTTTTAGATATGTTACTTTGGAATGTAATTAAAATTTTTGAAACATGTCATGTGATAAGAAGATTTCAATGTGTTCCATGTGACTATGCACTAGAGATACATTTTGAAGATATAGATTTTGGACTAGATGTCAGCAAATTAGAGCAGTGCTCTTTTATGGGTGAAAACATTGAATAGTTGTTCTGAGATATCGGTGGCAAATGTTATGCTCTCACAACACTGTAACAATTAAGAGATGTCACGCTGGTACAGGGATGGACAAAGAGACCACAGGAAACAAAGAGAAAGCCTAACTTAAACTCACTTGCTATATGGATATCTGCTTTGTGATTGAACAGGCAGGCATGGCAAATGCATTTTAAAAGACAGACTTCCCAGTAAATATGCTATGTTATTTTCTTAAAAAATATTTTCAGATATGTTCAATATGAAAAGCAAATGTATCATTTTAAAAGGTGTGAATATAGAAGAATATCTTTTTGACTCTATGATAGAAAGGAATTTCTTAATGAAGAAACAAAAAGAAACAAATTTTATAAAGGAACTATCGATCAACTTAACTCAAAAATTTTAAGAATTTTCATTCTCAAAAGACAATAATGGAAGTAAAATACTGAGAGAAAAATACTGTAACACTTAAAACTAGTAAAGGATAATTGTCCAAAACATGTAAAGAATGCTTTCAATCTGTAAAAAAAAATACATACAGCGCTCCTCCAATAAGTAAAGTCTGAAATAGTTACTTCAAGGCAAGAAAGAAATGCAGGTGGAAATATTTGCAATCAGAGAAATAAAATTAAAATCACAATCACTACCATGAGATGAGCATTTAAAAATATTAATATATTAATATTCACCTCCAGGCAGAAGGGTGGGCAGGAGGCCGAAGGATAGCTACCCTGGAGCCTGGAGACCCCGAGATTTCTCTGATGCCAGTGCAAGCATCACTGGGGACAAAGTGACACCATGTGGGGCATCAAGGGCGCTGCAGTTGAGCAGGACCTAGGTGCTGACACTTAGTAGTTCTCTACTCTTGCTTTCCAACAATTCTGGGAGCTGCAGCAGGGAGAAGGGAAGAATTACTTTTCAGCAACCCTTCTCGACATTACTTACTTGAAAAAAATTGTTTTCTTCCTGTTCTGTCCTCAGCTGCACTAGCTACCGCATCTAGACACGCTCAGGACCATGGAGCGCAACTTCCGGAATCCCCAGCCACCCGCCGGAGCCCAGAACTCTACTGGGCCATGGCTAGGGTCCCTCTGACAATTATGGAGGGGGAAAACATAATAGTGGCGACGCTGGAGAGGTAGGGTGGCCGGCATTATGACATTTTGGAAGGCCGTAGGTCACATTTCTTTCCAGAATGACTTCTCGGGGGAACTGGCTTCAGGCACCTGGGGTACTGAGGGGGACGCTCCTCACCCAAGAAAGGCCAGTGACATCTGCAAGATGCTTTCACCTTAGACAGCACCCAGGGTTCCCAGGGATGGGCAGTGCTCAAAGGAATCAGAGAACCTTGTCTCCAAATGTGCTGGGCAGTATATGACAGTTCTGGTTTGGGAGCTCCTAAAGCACTGGGCAGAGAAAGGGGTTCCTCAGCAACTGCATGGATAAGGGGATCTAAAACCTGGAGGACTGCAGATGAGGCAGGGTGGTGATAGGTCAAGATCCTGGCATTTGACCCTTGGACTTAAAGGCGCCCCTTTCCCCAATTCTTCCATATTTAAGGAAGGACTCTCTCAGGGCCATAGGTGCCCATGCCATCACTTCCACTCTTCCATTTTAATGTTGCCACAAAGTGCTGTTTCATGACTAGGTCTGGCCCAGGGCTGGGAGAGAAAATGAGAAAAAAATAGGACTCCCCCACGCTTTCCTGTTTACTGGTGCCTCTTTCTTGATCCTGAGGCTGGAGAGAGAGAGTCTCAAAGTTTTTCTGTGAGCTCCTGCTGTGTTGTTCATAGATTTGGGCCTTTCTTTGTCCTAGGGTGAAATCCAGGGTGAAAAAGAGCCCTAGCAATTTTCTGTCACTCGGTACTTTAGATTACAATTTTTCAGAATGACCGCTTTTTCTTCTTATTGGTGTGTATTACTCTGGACCCTGATGGAACACTACTCGAAATTCTGAGAATCATGAGGTTTGTAAGAGCCATAAAACCTGTCTTAAAATTCTTAGACATTCAAAGATATGTTGTTTGGGGAGATCGGGCCTTTTCCTAAAGCAGGAATTTCCGGAAAAGACATTTGTGAAAGTCTTGGATGTGATGTGTAAGGAGCACCTTTGAGTGATTTTTGTCAGTGAACTCAAAGAAAGGGATAATTTTGTCTATGTGACTTGAATAGCCTCTGTTAACTCACACCTGTGAAAGGATTCAGAATCGGAACCAATACTGCTGAGGAAGGTCAGAGCCTTACTTGACCAAAAGGACTTGAGTTCTTCAGAATTCTGGAAATGTTAGGAAGGTTACTGGACTTTGGACATGGTCCAGATGCATGATTTTGAGTTAAACATTTCTATTTATTAAGAGCAGAGTGACCTCCATTCATATCTAGGTCGATGAAGGAAAACCTGTGAATTGGCTCCACGTCCTGTCTTGTGTGAGTTGCTGCAGGGCACAGTGAAGTAAGGGCAGGGAAACAGAAAACCTGGAGAGGTCTTAAGATACGCATGTGTCCAGTGCACTAGGCTGATTTGTAAAAATGAAAAACGAGTAACGATGGGCCTCCAATATGCAAAGAGGAGGCCATTGCAAAAAAGAAGTGTCAACATTTTCCCCCAAGAATTAGAGATAATGACAGGAAGGAAAATATATTTCTAGGAAGGATATGACAGAAGCTTTCTACAAAATGTTACATGCCAATGTTACATGTTATTCCCTTCGTTTCTCTTCACAGTCTCCATTTCCAACAAAATTCTTATTGAATGGGGCTTTAGGGAAAAAAAATGGCTGGGTTTGTAGTAGGTAAAATGAAAGGTAAGAAAATTAAATAATACTAAAAAAAGATAGTCTGGCATATTCAAAGGCCAAGAGGCATTACAGATTCATCATACGATAAATGAATTTTAATTAGTGCAGAATGGAAAATGGGCAGCATCTGTACCTGTGTGCAAATAAGACATGTCAGTAACTAAATTTCACAAATGAGTTATAAATTTTGGCTTTAGAAAGATATTCATTACAGAACTTACTTGTCATAATATATTTTCAATTTCTCAAGAATTAATCCAAGCCAGTTTCC